AATTCAGAGGGGCTTCAACAAGTTCATGGAAAAGTAGAATAAAAGTTTTTAGTTTATTTTTAGGAAAATAGTAAATTTTGATATCCATGTATATGCATTGAATTCATGAACAGTTTGATGGCCACTCATATTTTAAAGATGGAGAGGAGTACAATCTGTTCTGTGTAATCAAAAACCAGGCTACATATTTGTTACTCATCTTGAAAGGGACTACTGAACCATCAGTTCCTGAAACAACGAGGGTCCCCGGAAGTGAGACAACGAGGGCCCCTGGCAGCGAGGAGACGACAAAAGCCACCAGCAGAGAGACGACAACGAGAGCCCCAGGCAGGGAGGAGACGGTAGTGCCCAGCAGAGAGACAACGAGAGCCCCTGGCAGCGAGGAGACGACAAAAGCCACCAGCAGAGAGACGACAACAAGAGTCCCGGGCAGTGAGGAGACAGTGATAGTGCCCAGCAGAGAGACAACGAGAGTCCCAGGCAGTGAGGAGACGACAGTGCCCAGCAGAGAGACAACGAGAGCCCCAGGCAGTGAGGAGACGACAAGAGCCACCAGCAGAGAGATGACAACGAGAGCCCCAGGCAGGGAAGAGACAACGATAGTGCCCAGCAGAGAGACAACGAGAGCCCCAGGCAGGGAGGAGACAACGATAGTGCCCAGCAGAGAGACGACGAGAGTCCCAGGCAGTGAGCAGACAACGACAGTGCCCAGCAGAGAGACAACGAGAGCCCCAGGCAGTGAGGAGACGACAAGAGCCACCAGCAGAGAGACGACAACGAGAGCCCCAGGCAGGGAGGAGACAACGATAGTGCCCAGCAGAGAGACAACGAGAGCCCCAGGCAGGGAGGAGACGACAAAAGCCACCATCAGAGAGACGACAACGAGAGTCCCGGGCAGTGAGGAGACAGTGATAGTGCCCAGCAGAGAGACAACGAGAGTCCCAGGCAGTGAGGAGACAACGATAGTGCCTAGCAGAGAGACGACGAGAGTCCCAGGCAGGGAGGAGACAACGACAGTGCCCAGCAGAGAGACGACGAGAGTCCCAGGCAGTGAGGAGACGACAAGAGCCACCAGCAGAGAGACGACAACGAGAGCCCCAGGCAGGGAGGAGACAACGATAGTGCCCAGCAGAGAGACAACGAGAACCCCTGGCAGTGAGAGGACAACAGCTTACAACACTGAAGTGACACCATCTGAAGGCCAGTCAGGTGAGTGGAGGATGTCATTCAATACCATGGCTTCTGTTGAAAAGACAAATTTTTTTTCAACAGAAGCCTGCTGATTTCTTTGTATTAATTAGTCAAATACCATCCAATAAAAGATGTAGAATATGTACCAATGGCTAATATTGTCAACAACATTTTGACTTTTTTGTTTTCTCCAAATCTCCCCCTTAGAAGTACCATAGTTTGGGGCTGTCAGAATAATGTACCCACTCTGCCAAGGCTGGGTTTTTCAGGGTGATAGGTGAGTCTACTAGAGCTTCCTCTGGAGCTGACAGTGGAATCATGAGAGGACATCTTTTCACTGGCGTTGGTCTGCCTAGGGCTCAGGAGCCAGGCTGAGGCTCACTTGGGCATCTCAGCAGTGGTGCATCATGAGCTTAGCTTGGACTCCAAATTCTGATTTAGCCATAGCTATAATTTTAGGGCAAATCATTAGCAGTAGTTTAAATCCTAGTCCCTCTTTACTGCCCTCTGGCCCCCCAAATCCTGAAATTTCTTCAAAGAGCAATTATATCATAACCATTTGTGTAGATTAAGATTGCTAGAAAAAAGTTCAGGATGCATCAAATTTCATATAAATAAGGAATAATTTTTCAGTGTAAATATGAGCCATGGTTGAGCATTGGCACATGGTTTTGTTTATCTGGAAATCAGGTTTAGCTGGGTGTTCTCTATTTTTGTTACCTAATTCTGGAAAACCTAATATAGACTGAGTGTCCTTTTTCTTTTTGATCAGAAATAACTGGAGGGGGATATGCACCCACCACTGGAGCTACTGGTGAAAACACTTCTGGGACATCAGGTACAACATCGTAATCAGAATAAATCCAAAGAGTAGAAATATGATTCCATTACTCAGACACAAGGCTTTCTAGGTAATTTAGTTATTAGTATTATTTGTGCAATATTGAAACTGTGGAAGATCAAAAAGAATTTTTAAAAATTGAAGGGCCAGCCCCATGGCATAATGGTTAAGGAAGCCAGATCCTACATGGCCAATTGCAGTTCAAGTCCCACCCCAGTGGCTTGAAAAACATACTGAGCACACATGCACGCATGTCCATAATCCTGGCAGAATGGAGAAATGGAGGTGAAAGGATTACAGTATAACCATGCCCAACCTGGGCGTGCTTTCTCCCTTTCCCTCTCTTTCTGTCTCTCTGTCTCTTTCTGGCAAGTACTTGTGCCCCCTGACAATTAAAAAAAATTGATCATACTGGGTGTTACAGACAACATATGAAAGTAGTGGCCTAAGGTCCTTATTCTCATAGAACTCCATTATAATCAGTATACTATGAGAAATAAGTCTATGTCTTTACTGGAACAAAAACTCAAAATGTAAGTAAGCTGAGTAAAATTTTAAGGATATATCCAATTTCAAGGGGATAAAGAGCAGTTATATTTCAGGTGCTGGGGAAGTAAAATGAAAATAAAATATTCTTTAAACCCAGATACCCTTTGCACAAAGGTTGTAGAGAATAAAACAACAAAAATGTGATATATATATAACAGCCTGCTAAAAAGTTGCAAAAATCAGAGAGAAATCTCATTTCTTTTTGGCATAGCCAAGAAGATTCAACCCGCTTGATACATGTTTTCAGTATAAACAATAATAGTCTTCAAGTAAGAAGACTTGATAGCATCATTTTTTATACATAGTTGATTCTGAATTTCCCTCTGGAAATGAAGCAGGTAGGAGAGGTATTTAGAGCTGAATCTGTAGAATCTTTTCAATGTAATCTATAAAGTGTTCTTCCTCTATTGTAATTATCTGATGACCTGGTTAAATATTCAAATATGCTAAAAATTCTTTTATTGGATTTGTTGCATGATGCAGTGATACTGTGCTGCTAAAGACAAGTTGGGTCTTACTTGGTGACCATGTTTTGAATTCCTGGCCAAGGTCAACCTGAAATATGCTTGGCAACACATGAGAGTGCCTGAGATCTGATAGGCTCGGAAACTGGGGAAAGGGAATTGTGATATGACCACACCCAGTGGAGAGTGCATCTCTCTCTTTCGTGCATGCATATGCATGCTACCAAGAATTTTTTTTTTAAAAAATGCTTTTATGATAAATGTAATAATGGGTTATTGAGAAAGTCATGGTGTATTTTTCTATACAAAAAAAAATGTATCATGACTTTCTGAACAACCCAATCTAATTTAGTGTCATGGTGTCAACCTAATACTTAATTTGCACTGATGCTCATAGAATAGAATTGCATTTAAGCCCGAGGAACACATAGGAAAATTGCTTAAAAAAAAAAAAGACAGGAAAATGATGATGCATAAATTAGAATCTACTGATTCCTTCTACCAAATATAAAAATCAACACAGAACTCACACCTAGACCATTTAGAGAGCACAGGGAAGACTAAGACCCCAAGGACTGAAAAAGATGGCTTTAGGGCTCTGATAGAGCTGAGATTTAAATAAGAGTATCTCAGAAGAGACTGAAGTACAGTGAGGGCCTCATATTGATGGAGCACATGCTAACTATGGTTTAGCGCCAGAAAAGAAAGGCCTCACCTGAATGGAAAATATTGGGAGACTATTTGGGACCTGGCAGGCCAGAGCACTCTGCTTATGAATGTGGAGTTGAAAGAAAGAGTATTGAAGAGCACTGCAATGAGCACTGAAAGTCTTGGTGTGTACTAACAGCTTCTGGAAGAGAGGGAGGCTTTGTGAAAGGTAGAGAAATTCTTAGAGTCTGGGTGTTAAAGGGAAAAATGAAAAGTATGTAAAAACAAGGCTCTCAATAAGAAAGGATAATACTGGAGCCAGCAGGTGGTCTGATAGTTAAGGCAGCTGGATTTGCACATGGCCAATCATGGTCTGAGTCCGGTGACTTGAAAATCACACCATGCATGTGTGTATATGTGCCTAAGATCCCAAGAGGAGAATGGAGTAGGGATTGAGGCATGACTGGCTCCCTGGAGGTTGATTTCTCATTTTCCCTCTCTCTGGCTCCTCTCTGGTGAGCACATATGCCCTATGGCAAAACCCTAAAAATTAAAAAAATTAAAAAATTAAAAAAAAAGAGAAAGCCTTTAACTTATAAAAACTACTCTCTGGGACCAGCAGTTGGCAAAATGGCTATGTTGCTGGACTCCCATGTATTAGACCACAGTTTGAGTCCTAGACCCAGTTGCTTAAACTCACACCAGGCACGTGTACGTGCATGCCCAAGATCCAGAGAGGAGAATGGAGGAGAAGGGATTGTGGCATGGTCATCACCCCTGGGGGGTGATTTCTCACTTTCTGTCTCTCTGTCTCTGTCTGTCTTTCTGGTGAGTGCACGCACCCTATAGCAAAAACATCTCAAACAAAAACAGAAACAAAAACAAAAATAAAAACAAAACTACTCACTTTAAGAACATAAGAGGAAGACCTTGATCTGAGAAGTCTGGGAGCCACACAAAAGCTTCTACAACCATGCACTGAATAGGATCTCCTGCTATTGCTGGTCCAGAAAAAAAAACATTATTGGGTGGGGAACATGAAAAATAATAATATATTATCAATATTTATATTTAGCTATTAATTTGTATGAATTTTCATAAATGTTCCAGCCATAGAAAGAAAATTCTAAAAATCCATTTAAACAGGGGAATACTATTTTACTTTATGAATTTAAATATTTGAACAAACAACTATAAATACTATTATAGTTTATGAATTTAAATATTTGAACAAACAACTACACATATAAAAATACATTAAAATAATGAATTAACAATGCAGGATAAAAATAAATGGCTGGGAGATGTCAAATTTGAGCTATAAAAATCAGAAAGTAAACTGAAGAAAGCGAAAAAATTACCTCAGAAGTAAAGACCAAATAAAAGTTACCCAACAGAGAATGAAAGAACCTGAGAGTACAAAGAAATTAGAGGACAGAAATGAGAAGATGTCTTTCTACCCAATATTGTACACATTTTCAAAAAATGTAAAGTGGATCAAAGAAAAGTATAGTTACAGGAAACAGACAAAAATGTTCAATATATGTCCTACTGCATTTTCTAGTGAAGAAAAGGCAACGAAGCAGAATGTATATTTAAACCTTTAAATCAATAAAAATCCTTGAAATTAAAAAAGACCTAAATCTTCAAATTGAAAGAACTCATCATATACCTAAAAAATTTAATAATTTAGTTCATTTTGCAACTTATTTTAGAGAATTGTTAGAGTTGAAAGATAAATTCTCTGGACCATCATTAAAAACAAAATAGAAATAAAATCAGGTGAGCATAGACTTGTGAAGAGTAGCATTTATAAGATACTCAAGGAAAAAATGTGGACCAAAGATTTTATATCAAGCTAAATATGATTTAAGTATCAAGGTTATGGGAAAATAGCTTAAAACATGAAAGAATTTAGAGAATTATGTACCCATGAGCTCCTCATAATAAATTCACTAGAGGACGAGTGTTAAGTAACAAAGAAATGCTTTGAAAACATGAACAAAAAGATTATAACACAGACTGTTAAGTGTAGTCAGAAACTAGAACAAAAGTTGAAGGAAAAGTGGGAGAAAATATGGAAGTATTATATACTTTGACCAAATAAATATAACATATAGATAGATAGATGGAAATAAGGAGGAGGAAAGTGAGATAAGTTTATTGACTTACTTATTGTGAACAGGGAGTAGTCAAATGAATTATTTAAAGCTTATGAACCAATTAGGTTTAAATTTACTAGAGAGTAAAAAATAAATAAAATTAAGGAAGAAAATGTTTAATCATTTCCATTGATAACATTTAGGAAAGACTTTTATCAAGATAAGAAAATCCATTAATATAGTTCATAAGATAAATGGAAAGAAAAATAAAAAGAATTTTTTCTATGCAAATACATGATTACTTTTCCAATGACCCAATAGATAAAAGAATAAAACAATGAGATATCTTTACAGAGATAAATAATAAATGCAAGTAGTTATCTTCATGGAGGCTACAAAACCATGTGATAAACATTCAATAACCATTTCTGATGGGGGAAAAAATCACCCGAAATTATAGGAATGTATATTTTCTTAAAATAATGAAATATATATACCTTGTTAACAAATGCAACATCTTCAGGAGGAATTACAAATTTATTTCACTATGGTAGGGATAAGGTAAGGATAGATACGATCACACTACTATTTAATAACTTTGGAAGATCTTAATATACTGGATTATATAGTAACTAGAAGAATAGAACTGATAATAAATATTAAACTTTTATTTATGGTGATATGATACTATATCTATAAAACCTGCAGAATCAATGGAAAAACTATAAACAGTAAGATAAATAAGTGAGGTACCAAGATATAAGATTAATCTGTAAACACTAATAGTCTCCATCTACATGAACAATAACACTTCAAAAGATGTAACAGAAGAAACTCTAATTTGTAAAAATAGCAAAGATAGAATACCTAGAAATAAACCTAACAAGGTAGCAACATGAACATGAACAATGCAAGAAAACTCTCCTGAAAGACTCAGAAGTGTTTTGAGCAAATAGAAAGGCAGTCCCCAAGACACACTCAAGCTTTGTGATTTGCTAGAATGAATCACAAGACTCAGTATGAAGTCTTATGTATAATACAGCTTAGTAAGATTTGTTACAGCAAAGGAATATGATGGAAAATGAGCAAAGGGAGAAAAAAAAACACATGGAGGACAGTCTAGAGAATAATAGGGGGATGGGGATGCTTCCTAGCATCCCTTTCCAGCAAAGGCACACAAGACACACTTAACTCCCCTAACAATGAATTGTAACAGCAGGCATGAAATATTGTC